GAATTTTCCCACAATGCTATGAGTTGAGCTGACGTTTCCATTGGATTTCCCACAGCCTTGCTTTCCCAAAAGTTGTTCTCATCCCGGTCGGAGTGGACTGCAGTTTCGACCTTGCATCGGCCTTGTCAACACCCTCGGTGGGATTCGAACTGTGGTTTCAGTTTCACTCTTAAATCCCCGCCATCTTGAGTCGTAATTTTGCGGCTCTGAAAGAGCCTAAACAACCCTTTTGAGTCTCATTGCCTCTCATCACGGCCCATTCGGCCGTGATTTTCGGGCCGCCCTTAAGCCGCTCATGGTTCGAGTCCCGTGGGGCGTTCGAGAGACCGAACCGGTCTTGTTGCAGCCCCGTCAGGCCGCCTCATGGTGGCCAGACTGTACGTCACTCCTGGCGACAGCCTCTTGACAACCGGCCTCCTCTTCCCCAGTCAAGGGACGTCGAGTCCGACCCCCGCCGATTTCGCCCACCAGTCCGCGTCTCGTCACTACGCGACGAGCTGGATCGCTTCGCTCCGCTCTGCTCTGCGCCCCACCTTTACCCACCGTCACGCAGTCTCACCGGTCCCACGACCCCGGGCAATTGAGGCCTGCAGGCGACGGGAGAAGCAGATGAACAACTGCATGCCTCCTGCGGGTGCTCGGCCTCCTCCGCTCCACCGACTCCCATTCGCGCAGACCACCTCCTGCTCTGGCCGCCGACTCTTCTCTCCTTCGGGCGAAAGGAGACAATCGTACCTTGCGCCATGGTCATATCACAAAGTAACGACAGTCTATGATACAAAAAGTAGTATAGAATGAGTAGAGCAGAAAAAACACTAACTATGGCATAAAGTGGTGGCCTTAATTACGTTTACGACTTGGCCGTTTGGGAGGGTGTGAAAGAGCTTTTGAGTGTCTCGCAGCAAAGATATCGCCGACAAGACGAGGACAAAGAGGCTGAGCCATTAATCAGTGAGCTGGTACCGGTTTTGGCCGACGCGTGAGGGGATGGTGGCTTGAGTTTGAGTCCCGCTGGGAATTGTGCATTCTAAACGGCGCTGCTGGCGATGCTTTTGCTCAGGGGCATTGGCACGCGGAAGCGAAAGTGAGCCTCAATTTGCTGATGAACATGTTGACAATGCTTGTAGGGCTTGCGATACTACTACTACTACTACTACTAC